AAACGCTCAGCTACGTGAACTTTAAACTCAAGAAATCCTTACAGCCCAGAGTAAAGCTTTCACGGGCCAGCTCGGGAAGCGATGGACCTGTGAAAGTCAAGGGGCAGCCTGAGCAAGGAGGTTATGTTACTTGAGGCTGGGGAGGACAAACTAAAATATGCACGATCTAAAACAAGCTGCTTGCAGGGTTGCCACAAAGCATAATGTAAAAACTTACTCTCTATGTATCCAATATGTACAAATTGTGGTGTACAGTCCTTTTAATTTCCTTCTGTAGAATATGATTAACCTAAGCTGGTGTGATCTATGCTTGGAACAATGGACCACCAAATAGCAGTGGTGAGTGGACATTAGATAAATCATCACTTATTAGATGGGAGGGGATCTTCTCAAAACATGTTCAAGAGAGCACAGAATAAAGAGTTAAAAGAACGAACATCCTGTATGACACGATGGCTTGGGTCCATTACGTGGTAACATACCGACCGCAGTCATACTAGCATGCTTAATTAACATACACATACTTTATTAATCTCACACATTTAGGAACTTAAAACATGGGTATCTTAAACAAACAGCGTGTAGTTAACAATTTCCCTTTGAAAAGATCCGCTCCTTCTTGAGTCCACTGGAAAATGAAGAACATTCAATTGATATTTTCATTCCTTCATGGGTATATTTAAGCCAAAATAATTATTATAAAAGATTATATTTGGATTTACATAATCATACACAAGTGTATGTCCATAATATCGTTCACTTTCCAATGGAGTAACAAGCACATTAAAATATATACCTAAATGTACTGAATATACTGGTAGGCTAGGAAGTGTAGTTTTGGAATACCTATGAGATCTATAGAGACATTAAAATGAGTCATCCATCCTCTTTCCTTGAAAGCGGTCTAAGCATGCATACATGCACTGCACTCTACAAGGAATAATATTGACAAGACTCTGCCTGTGGGGCCAAGCCTTCTCACAGCCAAACTAAACAATTTGTGGCTGGGTCAATAACTGGATCTAAGCAGACAGAAAGAAAGCTAACAACTACATTATCACACCTAATAGGTTACATGCAATGTAAAATGCAAGGGTATATGTTGCTTCGAACAAAGCATGTCCATTCTTGAATGAATACATTAGTGTTTCTTTAATTATTTAAATAATTACTGAAGGATTACATTGTCTACTGTGTCACATTACATGATACATCGCTTGGCTAACGTACAACTACATTATAACTATATGATAGAAACCTTCTGTTGCCAGTTACTGGAGGCGTGGAACCTCACGGCTGGCTCAATCTGCCATTGACTGTTGGGTCTTTCCCAGTACCTAAATGGGGCATAGGCATTCTTTTACTGTTTGCTGTGGATAGCAAGAATGGAAGTGCTTTGTTTTCCAGTAAGCCGCAGTGAGGGGTGGATGGGGGTCTCTCCGGGCCTCGTCACCTAGGCAGCCAGAGTGGCTGACGAGCCGTCCATAACCGAGGGCTACTGGTGCCGGAAAAATCTAACTGCGGACGAAAAGCCTGCGATGCTGAATTTAATTTTGCGTCCTGTTTCTTAGGCATTCATGTCTGGGACTAAAATAAGCTGACCGAAGCCTATGACGTGATAACACCTAGAAGCTAGCAAGCGGCGACTCAAGCTAACCCTGCTCTGCCGGAACTTTTCATTAAAATGCTGCCTAGACCCTTGACTACAGTCAATTCTGGAAGCTCACTCTTCTAAATCTTGGTATTAAAGGGAAAGATTTTCTTTAACAACATGGCCTAAATTTTCAATAGTCACTATTTCTAACTCTTGAATAAAAGTAACATCCACTTTTAAAACTCATCCGAGGTCAAACGACCACAAGTCCATTCATCTTCTTATATACTATATACATAACACATTCTGTTTCGTAACAACACCAATTACCTGCCAAGAAGGTACACTCAACCTCAACCTTGAATCAAGACAAATATAAACAATATAATCATTTTCGAAAACAAGAGTTTATGCTTTACAATGTAAATACAGTGCGATACCCTTCTCAGAAAACCTTATCACATTCATTTTACAACAAATCTAGTAATGTATGTGTGTGGCTTATGTATTTACAATAATTTCTTACATCTTACCCTTTAATACCAAACACCAACTCCTTAAGGCTGGGGCAATTTGACTGCTAACCGACAGAATCCAACCAAAACAACGTACTATCGAGCCTGCTAAGAAGAAAAAACCTTTGCCCTGACCTAACTTTGATTCTTAAATGCTGTACAGGAACATTTATTCAGTTTTAAAAAAATGTGGCACTTCTTTCGTCTGAGAGATATCACGGAGTACAGTACAAGCATAGTGCAAACAAGACCTCTTTCATTCTTGCGAGGCTCTTGAGTCCTGTTTGCACTAAATATGTTTGTAAGGGAAAACATCCAAATACGTTTTGTCACAGCCTCTAAGGACAGAACACCAGTTAGAGACTGAGTTACAATCACTCATTTGACTAGAACCAATCAGGATTTTTCTTTCTCTTGTGTATATGGTTTGGCAGAAAACAAAATTTCAACAATAAAAATCACAGGTGACATCATTTTCATACCATGGCAGTGACCTTTTGCAGTCTTCCAGACCTCCCTGGCTTTTTGTATCAGCGATTATTGCACAACTTTTTTGCGATGACCACAGATATTACATTCCCTTTTGTAACAATTTGGTTTACTTTAGAATATATCTTGCAGGCTATTCCGCCCATCTGCCAAGCCATACCACTTACAGTTAATGTTTGTAATTTTTGTCTTAATGAATTGAAATGTGGTCTCAGTCTGTAACATGTAAGTGCTGATAATCCCCATCTATCTCACTTGCACCTCTTCCTTTGTCGGAAACTTGAATGAGTCCAGCCTATTCTCTTCCTTGTTTTGTTGTATTTTCAGTGGGGGCTGGGCGGTCCCAGGCCTCATACGTTCTTGGAAGTACGTACTTCAACACCCAGGAGCGTATTCATCAACTATTAACCTACTTGGGGAACGATACAAAATGACAGTTTTGTCAATAGCCCTTTCAAAGGGACTCTTTTCTTTGTGTATTCCAAAAAGAAACTAGGACAATGAGTATAAAAAACCTTTCCATTCTCCATGTTTTGTGGACCTTGGTGCTCCTCGCTGCCGCAATTACTGACGGTCATGCCACTCAGATAGTTTAACCACCCACCTTGCCACACTCCCAAATTGACACTGCCGTGGTAACATGCTTAATATGTCCTATGTTGCCCAGTATTCTATACTTATAACTTCATATAATGCAAAATTAGCTTTATAAATCAATTAATATATTTTGTGTCACTTCATGACATAATAATTATATAAACCTTATAATAAACAAGTTCATTTTTTTAAACAAAAAAAAAAAAAAAAGCTCTTGAAAGAGAAAGACAGTAACAGACTTGTCTGCACGAGTGATAAACTAGGAATTGAAGCCAAATACTTGTTGGCAGAGCATGCTATTTGGATTTCCCGAGGAGACCGTTACACTGGTCCTAAGTTGTCCGGCAGCTGCTGCTGCTGCTGCTACAATGGCAGCAGAAGGAGAAATTGAGAACTGTCCTTTATTCTCCAGCTGTGCTGCCATCTCATTAGCCGGGGGCAATGCGATGGGTATGTGGTAGTATTTACACAGTGGGCGACCACACTTCCCCGTCACTGCATCCCGGCACACCATTACCTTCATGTCCACAACCTCCACATGACCTGAAAATCGTGACAATTTGGTTAAATTTCAGTTATTGGACAAAACCAGGGGTTTTACAGGGTCTGGACTGTTTGCTACTATTAAAAGATAACATGATACAATAACTGGGTCTGTATAAATTATACAAAGAATAAGTGTCAACCTTTACTTTTCTATTCTTCTTCTTCTTCTTCCATTTCTTGACCATTACTTTGGTTGTCTTCTGGTGCCTAATATTTTCTTCCATTCTTCTCTATTTTCCCATCCTTCCAGAGGTAGTTTCCACTCCATCATGATTCTAGTAATTCTGTCGTTCCACCCTGGTCTCGGTCTTCCTCTCTTCCTCTCTCTTTTGGTTGCCATTTCATAGTCTTTTTTTGGTAACTTTCCTCTTCCATCCTTTGCACGTGTCCATACCAAATCAGTTGTCTTTTCTCTATCTCCTCTATTATATCTCAATCCACCCTCATGATTTATCTAATCCTTTCATTCCTCACTCTCTCTCTTCTGGATGTTCCAGCCGCTCTTCTTAGGAAATCCATTTCCATTATTCTCTACTTATTTTTTTCGTTGTTCCGAGAGTTGCCATATTTCTGCTCCATACAGAGCCACGATTTGTACCATTGTTTTATATATTCTCTCTTTCTATTCAAAAGTAATAAGTTTTTTAGGCATGTACAAGGTATGACAAAAAGTACTGACATGGAAATCATGCTTCTGATAAACTGCACTCTTCAGATAATGAATATATTCTAACATGAGATAAGTTTTCATGGCAGTGAAATTTATATCGTGGTCTTCTGGGTCACAACTCCACGCAGCCTTGGTTGTTTGGCTCTGGAAATATTTCATCAAGTTTTCTGAAATTTGTCTGGATCTTCAGCCGGCAACTTTCCAATTGCAGACCTAGCCATAATTCAAACTTAGGCCTAGTAATTTGTACGTTCGGGAATAAGGAGTCACCTGATGGAAACACACAAAGAATTGCCCAAAATTGTAAATTTAGAATGTTGTCTTTATATCAAATACATTCCAGTTGAAAGCTGTTTAAATTTACATGGTTTAAACTTCAACACAGAGCGCTTGTAAATGTTAAAGAAAAACTACTGAACAGAATATAATAATTAAACAGGCAAAACTTCAGCTAGAACATTGTCAAACACAAACCCATAAAACCTACTGCCCTGAACTTCAGCCCTACAAATCTTGTATTGCTGATATTATATTTTGGTGATACAAGATAAGCTGCTTGTGTGTGTTTAATTTCAGTTTAGATTTGTTGATTGGATAATATATTTGTCCTTGTATATCATTAAACATATGCCAAAAAGAGCTCAAAAAAATCTTACAGATCTTAATGGGGTACAACTTTTTGTATGAACAATTCCTGATAAATATTGATGTACAAAACGTAAATGGACACTTAAATCAAACATGTCCCATGTTTCCAGTTTCAACAGTGCTCAAGCCATGTCTTGTTTATGATCTGAGAGACGTTATATTTCACGCATAAACAATGTTTAATGATACCATTCTTACAGTGAATGCCTCTGACAATTAGTGTACAAAGCAGTTTTGATAGTAAAATAATTCTGTCCCACTAGCATTACAAATACCATCCGAGAAATATTCCATCCATTTATGTGTGCATCAGAAGATGCACATTCTTCCCCACAGCTTATTCTATAATGCTCCCAGAAAACGGTGTGTAAACCTCAGCCTCCTTAAGGCTAGTGATATGCAAAAACAGCTCACGACATGACAACACTACTTTAAGTACAGGTAGGCCATGCTTTACGCCGCTTCATTTTACACTGTTTCACATTAACACCCTTTTAAAATAAAGAAAAATAAGAAGAAAATTTGAAAACGCAAGCATAAATGCAGAAAGGAAGTGGGTACCTAGGTGGCGCTAGTGTTGGCGTCAGTCGATTTCTCCTTGTCCGCCAGTACAGTACATTATAATTCTTCCTCAATTTATGCCGCTTCAGGGCCTACCTGTACTAGTGAACAGTTCTGTTGATACCAAACACCCTTCGTTTTCTGACCAAGATCATCATGTGAAATTATATATTACACATTTAGGAAGAGCTGACACTGAGATATCATATAACATAATTAAGCATAAACACAATGGGGAGGTTGCCACCCACCTGCCTATCTATCCATGTTTCATTTCTGGTACTACTGAAGCGTTTAATTGAAATGTGCCACCCAGAGCCTAGAAGTTATTTGGCATATTTAATTTTTCTTCATAACCCCCCCCCAAAAAAATACAAATCGTACTTAAAATGAAGTTCAGATGAAACTTTATCACACATTTTATAAAAAATGGTTCATCAGAAAAAAATTAGTATACAGCATGAAATTTAGACCTCATTATTGAGAACTACAGCTTTTATTTAAACATTCACCTAAATATTTAATCAAATATAAGCAAAGCTAATTACTGAAAAATGAATGGTTTAATTATGTTTACAACAATAAGTTTCTATGCAGTAACAGATAAATCTGCAATAAACAAACATGGAGGCCAATACAATAAAATCAGAAAAAATATATTTGGGAAATATGCGTACTCTGAAGTGTCACTTGTACAAATACATATTTCGATGGTTGAATATGACAAGTTACAGATTTTAAGAAAATGCAAACTTTGATTTCACGATCAAAAATATGCTGTCCTATAAAAAATATACTTCAGTACTAAACTGAGACAATATATAAGGGATCGTGGGAGAAAATGTAAGTACTCTGTAAATCTCAATAATTCTGTGAACATTTCACTGTATTTACTTTACACTGTAACAAAATTTCTTGTTTTTTTTAACAACACAAGACTGCAGCAATACACTAAATCACACTAAACTCATCATTTCACTGCTTGTGGAGTCTGCAGAACAAACTATAAGATAATGAGGAAGCATTTGTCCATGTGCCTGCACAGAAATTAATCAATCTGAAAGCAAACGTCAGAGATGTAATATCTGCAATCTTAAGTGACAGTCTCTCGAGAACAAATCACTCAAGGTCAGATGGATTTTTAATCCTTAAACACAGGATTAGTTAAAACATCTGTAGTACATGCAAGGAGATTAATAAATGTTAAAATAACAGCACAGGAAAAAAATACTTAACTATCAAATAATTTCTTAACACTAGAGCAGAGTGCTCCTTTCGGGGCTCCTTGGGGGGCGGGGGGGGGTAAATTTTGTAAAACGCAACCAACCTTGTGTAACAAACTAAACTAACCCCCTCCCCCGAATGGAGGGTTAAAACACTTGACCAACCCCTCTTCAGGAGAGTTGATGAATAAAACACTAAACTAACCCCCCCTTCGGTGAGGTTAGTTTAGTGTTTTAACCCTTGAGTAAGAAACTAAACTCCCCCCCGAATGGGGGTTAAAACACTTGACCAACCCCTCTTCAGGAGAGTTGATGAATAAAACACTAAACTAACCCCCCCCTTCGGGGTGTTAGTTTAGTGTCTTAATCAAGTGTTTCAACCCTTGAATGAGCAGTATGACTTGAATGTTTACTCGGCATTGTTGTGTTCCACAACAATGCCGTGTAAACAAATATCTGTTGACATTGTTGATGTCATTTTTTGACGAAAAATTGGTTGACGACAACGGCGAATCACAAATTTTTATAGTAGATACTTAGATGGCTGCAATGTACTCATGTATTTTAAGTTGATTAACATGTGACAATAGGAAACAAACATCTACAATTGCAATTTTAAAAACTACAAAACACAAATAAAAATAACAAAACACTTCCCTGCTCTCTTTGCTGTGCACTTTTGTACTCGTGAAATGGTCAACTCACTGTAATTTGCAGAACAAGTACTTTCTTACCTTCTTGAAGATGCACAAACTTGCAGGCTGGGCGATTACAGAGTTTCCGGTTAAAATCTTGGCACACCGGGAGGGTGTCCAGTAACTGGAACAGGAAATGATTGTATTCAAGCTCTCACAGTATCAAGTTACGCGAAATTACCGATCATGTTTCAGGTGTTCTGGAGGATACTGTACAAATGGATTTTTAAAAATAGGGGAGCCTCACAAAAAATGCATTTACAGCGCAGCAAACCAAAATATAAATGTGCTCCGCTTGAATCACTTTGTTATTGACTACACTCTGAAGAGAAACTTACAATTAACATGCATGAACAAACAGACAAGCATACAGCAAAACTTATAAAATGCACATCTCACATGCAAATCAGCTACTAAATACTTCAGTTATCCAATAACCTGATCAAAGTTCACCAAGTTTCTGTTAATTGATTTCATATATAACCAAAACCACCAAATTGCTTATTTCATGCAAATGTTTTAGATAGTACAGATGTACAATTAAACTACATAGTAGTCACAGTGGGCCAACAAAATGTAGACATTTGTAAACATCCCAATAGGGGTGCTTCCAATGAAACTGTTTGCTGGCAACACATTTGATGACTTTACTAAAGCATCAAGAAAATTAAACTACTGTATAATAAAAGCTCAACTACCTGTCCGTGCTCGTCTGTGTAGACCACATAGGGAGCGTTTTGCGGCACCGTAGCTATACCTTGGTGCCCGAACCAAACCAATGAACGTCATGCAACGTAACAAGCACGTGGCGGGCGGGCAGGCGTACGTGTGAGAAGGCAGCAGTGCAGGCCAAAGGGGGAAAGCACAGCCAGACGCGGGCGGAGCGTTCGTTACCATTTTGCATTTCCCCACACCGTGGCACATTCCGAGTGAGGTTGGTGCGCGCAAATCAACGATCCACAGCAGGACGATTATCCGTTCCATTCCATCAAGGCACACCATAGTTTAAACCACCGACACGCACACATACAGCACAAGAGATCCAAAATACAGTTTTTTCAAGGGACAACAGTAAACCACCACAGCAGCGAATCAGAGGGGTTACCACAGTTGAGATATTGATTGGTACAGTAGGATGTTTGGCAGGTTCAGTGACAGAAGGAACGCATTAGGAAACGCATTATTCAGCCAGAGTGGAGGAAAGCATGAAAAAAAGAGAAATAGCAGAACAATTATATACTGCATGCTTAATGATGAGATCCAAACAGATCCACCAACCTGTATACAATATGGTGTTCAACTTGTGTTTAGTGGGCAATCGCAAGAAAGGTAACCTGAATGAAGTATAAAAGCTGCAAAGTTCTGAGCAAATTTCAAGAGAAGACAACTGACGCGACAAAGCTGCCTGCTTCACAGTCTTCACTGCAGACCTCTTGCATCAGAAATTTCTGACACTCGTATGAAAGGCATTCTGTACATATGGCGACCACTACCACGACCATACACATATTAAGTTTTAAAGTGACAATTACCTACATGAGAGCCCTGATTTTGTAACATCAAGCCATGCCATACTGGTTTTCTGTTTACATCTCTGGGATTCCTACAGTACACAACACACTAAACAATTTACTGCAGTTTCACACAATTATCAACACCAGCAACAGCTTAGCATGAAGAAATAAAGTGTGTAACATTATGCAAGAGTGGGGTGGAGAAAACATATAGCATTAATAGCCCCCATTCTTGTGAAATGTCACATACCTCATCACGCCTGGCCAGTACACACTACTTGCGAAATGTGAACACCCAAGTTAACAAACACTGTATTCAGCTGGAACATGCAGAACAGTGCAATTAAAAAATATATATGTATATATAGCCCATAACTTGGCAGCTTAGAGTCAAAATGGCGTTTGCAACTCTCGAAAAAATATTTCAGACAAATCTGTTTCTACTTCCACTTAATATGTGTGGACTACCTGCACACCCACACCTAAATGCACAATGTCAAATACATCTGACAAATGGCTGCTGCAACGTAGGCATCCAAAAAATAAGTAAGCTGTTAGCTATGTGCAAACCGAGTATTACTGATTGTTGTATGTTAATGTGTATCAGGACACATCATTAACTCACGACAGGATAGATGATAAGTAAAGAAGTCTTATGATATTGTAAACAGTAGTCATCAATCTGAATGTGCATCTGTACATACCTTTTAGGTAAGCATGTTACATTTCAGAAGAAGAAAAATGGAGAATCAGGCATTTACTAAACAGTTTGTGAACAATAACCGGGGGGACAAAATTTCAATCCAATCGTTAGGTCCGACATGAGCAAGTATTACATGCTACTGCTGATAAAAACATCATGCTACAGACCTTAAGACTACATTACTTATCAACTGTTACAAATACAACACTTTAAAATATACAGTCCACAAAGAAAGTTAGCACACTTTTATATAGCAACAGATAAAGGTTGCATTCAGACGCCCGTAAATTGTAACGCACTGTTCCTCAACAATACCAATCTTTGTGGTCTTTGTTTTCAAAAATTCTGATATTGGTCAGAATACAACCTCTGGCAGCTGGCATCACACTGCAAAGCAGTATCATGTTATATCCCATATAAGCTAGCCAGCCAGCCACCACCTGCTGCAGTATACAACCTTCTGTCACTCAGCTTTCCCTTCTCCGTGTGAAGAAGCGATAGTCGGGTTTACCGAGATGCAATCCTACACAAAGACTACAGGGTCACAGCAATCAATATTCAATCAGGCTGGGATTCCGGAAAGGTTCAGTTCCGGGATACCTGGGGCATGGTTAGCGTAAGAAAAGGAATCTATCTGCCTTACCTTATGCAGCAGCATTACAGAGATGCAGAAAGGGGTACAGAACACTGGAAAACTAAAAACCAATTTTCCACAGTTCTTTTTAACAACTAAATGCTGTAGGACTTCTGAGGGAGAGAGAAGATTGAAAAAGAAGCATTAATAAAACAAATAATCATGCATTTCCAAGCATTATTATTACAAATACTGGCTGGTGTTTGTCGTTTGTTTCTTTACATACAAAGATCAGCAGGATTAGACAGTACAATACACAGTTGTATGGAATACAATCAAAACTCAGTGTTTGCTATGGCAAATAAGCGTGACAAGTCAGGCAGATCGTAATTAAACCCAAATCCTTTAAAAATCAGTACAGGACAGTAGCAGAAGGCACTTTCTTCATATGCGTTGGAGACGAAGCTAAATAACTATGTTGTGGCGTGACCAAATGCCCGCAACGACTGTCACTTCAGTGCGAGCACTTCCACAATTAATTGATCACCTTATTACAGCCCCTGACCTTCTGAGCTACTTCTCTTGGAATACAGTATACAGCATAATTTAAGAAAATCAGAAACTAAACTCTTCTATATTTTTGATCTTGTTTAAAATGCAAACAGTTTTCATAACTAAATATTATAATACACATTTCATAATATATTGTGTAATAGTATTTTCATAAATTCTAATTAAGAGATATTAGTATCAGTAATGTAATTCACCACCGTCATTATAACGATAAATTTAAACATGGGTCCTCAGACCATGGAACAGTCATTCATTTTCCATTAAAAGTATTATCTAGTTCATTACTAACATAGGAACACATAATACAAAGAACTGTATGCATTCATTTCATACATAAACATGTTAAAATCAACAAATTAAAATGGGCATTCTGTAATCACAATCAACAATTTATCTGCGGAACTGCCCAATAAAAATCAGGAAGACATACAGTTCTCAAACTTGACTACAAATATAAAAGCTTTCTACGTAACAATAAGATAAAAGATTCCCATACTGGGAATGACTAAAAATAAATGAGAATTACAGAGTAATACAACTACATTATTAAATGAATAAGTAAATACACAGCCAGGCATAACTGGCAAAAGTGAATATGGAATATGCATAACCCAGGAAACCCTTGAACATCAAGCACTTTGCTGACAAAGTTACTCAGATCTGCAACCATCAGAGTTAACAAATTTCAATTATACTTTCGACTATATGCAAGGGTATTCTTGGGTTAAAATCCAATAAAAACAGAAGATGACACTACAGTGGCACTAACTAATAGCACTGAAAAGTATACAATGTTTATAGATCTACCATGCTATGCTTCTACAGAATTTACGAAATGGAATTTCCCACTGCATGCCTAAAGAGTTATCTTCCTAATGAAACAAGGTACTTACAACTTTACAATGAAGTTGTTTCCCAGTTACACGTAAGAAAGATCAGGCCTTTCCGAAAGAGCGCAGAGTTCAGACTCTATTATACATAAATGTACTTCTGAATTTAACTCATTCAAGGAACTAAGTTACAACGTGTGGACGACTGTTCACGCGCGCCACCACAGTCATACCGTGAGGCAAACAGTATCATGTGACTGACAGGTTATGTTATCACAGATTGGTTACTTGTTACGATATCGGTGTGACCGGAGCCACAGAAACCCTTTGCATCTCCTAAGGTCCCCCAGACAGCAACGCACATCAGGCCCCTCCACACTCAGGCACTCGAGTTTTGGTCCTCTGAACAGTGTACCAACGTACACTACTAGCTTTTCTCAAAGATTTAGTATTTGAATACTGAACAAATTCAGACAATAATTTTGACTAGAAAGGGACTTCCTTAAAATGAATTAACAAGAGGAGAAAGTCAACGTGCATCTTAGGTTGTTTTCATTTTCTTGTATGGCTGCAATGCCACACCAGTAATTATATTGTTATTGTTTGTGCTAGTGGCTAGAGGATTGTACTGTGCCATCATATTGTTTAAAATTCCATTGCCAACTACAGCAGTAGGAGGAGGTTGTGGGACCATCGTATAGGGTGCAGCATGCATCATCTGGGGACGAAAAAAGGAATATGGGGACATGAGTGTTGTTGGAGGTGGTGGGATCCTGTTGTATGTCAACAGGTTTGGTTGGCTTTGACAATACGAGAACTGAGATGAGAACTGAGACGGGAGTTGAGTTGTGGGGGTTATGCTTAGACCAGAAACATGTGGAGCATAACGAGGGGGAGGTGGCATCACGGCCATGGCCTGTTTATTGAGAGCGACACCAGTATAATTCAGAGCCATGAGAGGATTTATGCTTAAGGAATTGGATACAGCTGCTGCAGCAGCTGCCAACTTGACAGCTTTGGCATAACTCTGTTGGGCCGCTTCCTTGGCAGCGGCAGCGGCGGATACATCCATAGGAGCAGCGGCTTGGTTTGAGCTGGGAGCAGGGAGCGCTGGGATTGTCACTGATATTTGGGGTTTGCTGCCTTGAGGGAGCTTATCAGTTGCCACCGGGGAATTTGTCTCCTCCAGCTCTGTTACCACCACTTTACCCACTTCTGTAGCACCCCCACTGCTGCTTGCCACTGAAGAGCAGCTGGGTGTGGCAGGACTTAGGGAGGAGCTAGTGACTGTTGCAGGGGGAGTCGAGTACTCACATGACACCGGGACAAATGGAGGCTGCTGCAGCTGCATCAACTGTTGGTACGTCGTTGCGCTGGGCTGGTACACAGGCATTCCAGACTTATCAGCTGCTGGTCGCTTATATGGAACCATCCCAGGGAAGGCCTAAAATAGAAACAGAAAAGTGTAACTTAAATGAACAGAATTTTTATAATTCATACACCTAAATAACAGTGTACTGGAAAACATTATTGGGTACATTCCAAGAAACCACTAATGTGTTTTATCTGGCAACAAACTTACAAAGGAGGTAATGGCAGACATCCTCTAAAAAGCATTTATGGCCTTTATTGAGACAAAAAGTGAACAGTATATTCACAGGAAGAAACACATATAATTATATGTTCAAAACTGACACAGGATGTTCCGAGTAAACCGGTCTAGTAAAGGTGACAAATTTACCTGGCAAGCATAACAGAATAAAATCTTTGTATCAAAAATACTGATACCTATCATCTTACCTTGTGCCAGATCACATTATGAAATAATATAACAATAAACAAACAGATGGTGACATAATTAAAGTCCTAAATTTCTGAGAGCTCAGTTGGCATACAGATTTTTAAAACAGCACAGGGCTGGTACTAATATTACTTCCACACTGAAAGTCAGCATGACCACCATATATCAATTGACAGCCAATATTAAAAAAAAACAAGGGTGTATGATCTTAGTATCTGATTTAACCTTTGCCACACAATACTTCAATTTCATGGTAAATGGTTTAGCGGTATGCTAGTGCAATGCATGGCCAACTAGACTACATGTAAACAGTGAAGCACGGATGATAAAGGTTAAAGAAAAATGGTGAAGTAATTGATAAGACACACACACACATACTGAATTAGGGTCGTTTCACTTTTTGTCAGGGCAACAGAACTGAGAATCTGAAGCCAGAACATACCACTCTGTCAAACCAGTTGTACCATGCCTCTGAGATGTTCTAAAACAATGAAAAAGAGGGAACTGCTATTTAAATTTAAAAAGTAACACAAATGTAATGTTGATTTGTTACCCCCTAAACATATAACCTCCTACAAATTGTACCTAGTTATACAGAGTTAGTCTAAATGATGTTCCAATTTGAAACACATGTTGCTCACATTTAATGAAATTCAGATGCACAAAATTGGTACCGATGGAAAAAGAAACTCTCCAAGTTTATGTTGGTATACTTCGCGGCCGTGTAGTAACACTGTTCGCCACCAGGGGCGATATGAGAGAAAATGGCTGCCATCAAAGACATGGGAGCCTTTTGTGTCCTGGATTTCCACGTTCACTGCACCTGACGCCCTGTGATTTTTTTTCTGTAGGGGTTCGTCAAAGATAGAGTATTCGTGCCACCCTTACCACAGACCTTGCTTGATCTGCGAGCGTGTATCACAGCAGCCATTGCAGCAATCGATCATGATATGCTGCAACGTGTCTGGGAGGAACTTGATTACAGGCTGGATGTATGCCGAGTTACCAAGGGGGTTCACATTGAACACCTGTGATGTACTGAAACAAAACTTGGAGAGTCTCTCTTTCCATCGGTACCAATTTTGTGCATCTGAATTTCATAAATGTGAGTAGCATGTGTTTCAAATCGGGAACATCATTTAGACTAGCCCTGTATAAGAAAGCAAAATTTTATACTAAAAGTGACATGTGCAACTGTTCTAAATCTGTAGTCATTGTATTTTATTGGAGACAAGTTATTACTTTTGAATCCAACACCAGTTTCCATGTGTGATAATTACTGAATTCTGGAATATTTATTTCAATAAGGACTGTGTTCTGTACAAATAAATTTGTGGTATCCCATGCAAGTAACCACATTATATAAACGCTGATTCTAATAGTGTTATCACTTGTTCATCAAACCCGTCGTCATTTTCTGAAGCCTCTCCCCCTTCAAGTACTTTAAATATATCAAATCTCATTAATATTGTGTGAGTGGTCAATTACGTCACACAACCTACATAACAATATTAACTGATGATTGCAAGTCAATACAATTAAACTGGATTAATAAACACACAGTCTCACTATGATTATACAGGAGCCCACTCAGGTTGTGTCATTTTGTAATCTGTTAGCACCAGTTTGTCAGTCATCTTCAAACAGTCAAAGTTCAAGAGTCTCTTTTTCACAAGTGCAAAAAGTGTCCATTTTAAACACTACCTAGTATATCATTCTTATTGTACCTTGCCAGAATGAGTGTCCTGATGTGCCAAATAAATCGACAACCGAAACAAAATATTGACCTGTACATTTGAAACATCCCTGCAAAAACTCTTCGCTGGGTTGTATCAAACATGAGGAAAAGAGTGAATTCTTCACTAATGTGGTGAACAACCCCAACACTTAATATAATATTTTTAATCAGATTTCATCGACAAACAGAATATGTATCAGAAATGGTATGCATGACTCTTTGATCACTCTGTGTAAGACAGTATTGAATTTTCCAGGGAAGCCTTGTGCTGGATATATTGGATATATTAGGTCTGCATAATTTCCTTCAATAGTTAAAACAGCTGGGGTTTTTTTCCATGTCCAGTACACACCATTCACCATGGTCTGCATTGTTGGTTAGCAGGATTCACGACCCATCAGTACATGGGTTCGATCGGGACCACGACATTTAACGCTCCGACATATGAAAGGTTTTGTTTTTACAAAATGTCTTTATTTCACTCACTGAATGTGAGTATAAATCTTTTTGGGTCAGCCTATATAAGGCTCTCTATAAAACTTTCCATTCACTCATATAAGTACGTCTTTGACTAGTTTCTGATGTGCTAACAGCCCCCTTGTTAGTCTGCCATTATGATTCCATTAACATCTATTTATCCCCTGCACAGCGTCTCTATATTCAAACATCACTGACACAGTCAGTAAATGGGAGCCAATAAGCCTGCTCTGTGGGATTTAATCTAATTATTTTAAATGAGAGTTTACTACTTCTGTGAAATATCAGCATGGAATATTCTTGCCCTCATACACACACAAACAAGTAAAATACATAAACTGCTGAACATGGCTTACATAGATATTGGATACTGGGAACGACCCGTTCTTCAAGTGCCTGAGCACTGCGGGTCCCAACTTTTCGTTGGCTTGATCTATAGACATTCGGTAGGACTCCTTGGACGAGGGATCGGCCCGTCTCAAGGCCTCTACCTGTACACATGACAGTACAACCCAGAAAAACGCGGACAAACATCCATGGCTTGAGTGGCATTCGAACCCACAGTCCCAGCGACCAAGCGGCACAAGGACCACACCTCACACCGCGCAGCCACTGCGGACCCCGGCTTACATAGATGCACAGATGAATAGATGGTGATATAATCAAATTGTAATAAAAAGAAACTGTTTACTAGCTGACATAGATGATGTTGTTGTTGTAGGTGGTAACATTTCCTTTTTGAGAAGAACGTAATTATTTCAGTTACGAATCTGCCTAATCAAATTTTCAAACCACAATTATTAATTTATACACGGCAACAACCTACAAGATCCTCCTGCCCACAGAATGACATTATATTGCATCTAAGCCAAAGTTTAAGGTGACATTCACAATGCAGTGTTTATAGTGAATTACATTTTAGACAGAATAATACAAATGTATATAAAAGTGAAAATTATATTAAATTAATCCTTCATTAGATTCATATAAAGGCCATTCAAAAATTACACAGTTCTGATTTTATAATCCACCAATTCAGAACTCAGTGCTGCCTTCCTCAAAATAACACCGACTAACAGTCAAGAGTTGGAAGGCATGTTGCCAGTGATATCCTTTATTTGTAAGCATTGTTCTGCTCTCACAAAGTTCTTGACTCTGATTTCTGCACTCTTAGATGTTTACAGCTGGAAGAAAGAGCCTGTGGCCTGCTATGCCATATGAGGCATGGCCAGGGATTATTAAATTGAGCCACTACTTTAGGTAAAAGAAAAAAGTAAAGCAGTCCTGCTATGGGCCATGTAGATTGCTTAGGGAAGAGTAGGTATAGCTCCTTCTCAGTCTTGACCTCAGTACTAGATGGGGGTGAGTGGTCAGAATCACACTCTGGCCACACTTTACACCCAGGAAAGGACCCCGGTACCCATTGGACAGGAGGCTGGGTGAGCCCCAGAACCAGTCTGGATGCAAAGGCTAAAAGAAAAATCCTCTGACCCCGTCGGGGATCGAACACCGGTTGTCTAGCCCATAGCTAGTCACTATACTGATGGAGCTATCGTGGCTGAGAAGGATCAGTCATGACTAACCCACAGGATATGCCTTTTAATTTTCATCAATTGTGCAAAAAGGCTAATATATGGTCCAGCTGGCCATGCATTGCAACCAAAGCAGATTTCAGAGTTAAATTCCAATCTGCACCCACGTAATATGTGGGTTTAAATTTCATATTCCTTTAAAATTAAGGTTAATCTTTGATTTAAACTATACTCTAAATACCAACTGCAAATTCCTTAACATTTTAAATATTTTACAGCAGAGAAGACCCAATTTTATTTGTCCTTATAAATACAGCAAAGAGTAAAATTCAAAACTGTCCATGATATCAATATCTGGAGCTTGTCATTCTATGTAACACTTATTGAAAGTTCTTGGTCTTTCCGTCACACTGAAATAATCATACTTCTAATTTCCATGTTTCATGTTAAGAGTTCCATGTAATAAGTACTCCTTGAAAATAAAACATTAATGAGCTACCAAAGAAACTAACTCTATGGAACAGGGATCTTTATAAGAAGCTAACAGTCACTCAGTTAGTCAAGAAAATCTCCACCTTCTATGCCACCCTACTTCTCTAAAATTCATGTTAATATTATACTCCCATCTATGTCATCTGAGTAATCTTTTCCCTTCAAGCTTCACCATCAAAATTTCATATGCATTTTTAATTCCCCCATTTCATCCTCTTTGATTCGAACATCCTAATACCTTGCTAAAAGAAAAGTACCAGAATTTGATTAACAATCATACGAGGAAACAGGTATTGCAATCAAGCTTAAATAATAGTTGTATAAAATTGTGTGCACAAATAAAATTTCATGACTTTAGTAACAGGAAAGCTGTATATGGGAATAATTCTATTTTGTAAATAGCAAGCAAGGCAATGTTCAGAGGTCAACTATATAGCAACAAACAAATAAACTAAAAATACTTTCGAAAGTAAACAAAACATCATTCTTTAAAAGAACCCTCCCTTTATCGAGTGTTCGCAAATTCGCAATTCCATGTTAATGTAAGAGCACATCAGTAAAATGCTATAGTAATGAATCTAATTTCCATAACAGTTGTGAATTACCAAGTTAGTGAAAACACACTCTTCATGGTATACATATTTGTCTGCGTAAACATATGTACAAGTGGTATGTTGTGGAGCAACAAAAATGGAATGCAGCCATGTCCATAATTATGTATTTGACATTTCGAAATTTTATGTTTAACATTATTAAAAACTTGGAATTCTATTCACATGGTTAATTGGGATAATATTTAAAATAAATGTAGCTCAGCTATTGCTTTCATACCGTTAAAACAATGACTCTGTGCACTCAAATATCACAGTTTATGACAGCCACATTAATAATGTAACTCGTAGAGTAGTACAAAATATTGTCCCTAAAGTCATTTGCAAATATATTAGAATACTGTTTAAAAATCAAACGTTTCAGCGCCACTAACTTCTCGTTTAAGTTTTTTTTAAAAAAAATAAAGAACATAAAGCTACTTCTAGAGTTTGTGTGACAAATGTAATTTGGCCTGTATACAGTAAGTGTGGGGAGACAGTTATTGACAAATAATGGAAATCTACCCTCATTTGCCTGTATAAGCAAAGCACATACCACGATACAAATACAATGAGCATCTCACTTACAAAGCTTTCATAGTAGAATGATCCAACAGACTTCATATCCATCTGAAACAGGAAAATTATTCAGTCAGCATTTCCTATTTAATATCATTTTTCATCACAACATGCTTATGTTCAAGTAAGAAGTTTGAACCTGATGCAGATATGATTCCACACTTGCTGTAATCCGTTCCAATTCCCCACTTAATGAATTTGCCAAGCATGTCTAGTTCTTTATAAATATATATCAAAATTTTACTGCATCCCTTTAGTACTAATATACTCATGAAATAGCAATGAATGACAAATGTCATAAACAAATGGCACTTAGCATATTATTGTATGATAGACTATGGCATGAACTAGGTACGATACATCCAGGTTGTTAATTAATTTATAATGTACCAGATTTTTTC